CAAGGAATGGTGTTGACATTGCAATCCAATTATCAATATATTTATCTGCAAATTCTTTTCCTACATAATCTAAAAATTTATAAAACATTAATCCTCCCATTGAATGGGAGATAACAACTACTTTCCCATATTTATTATATGTATTAATTATTAATTCTTTTGTATCTTCAAACCAATTTCTTTTATGTTTATATTCTCCATATCTATAATATCTCCAATCATATGATGCCCCTACCATATCATCTCCATCTACATATCCTAATTTCTTAAATTTCTTAATTAAATCATGAAAACATTTTGCAAATATTGAAACGGGCCAATTAGGATCAATCTCATCACATGCATATGTACTTCCAAATTTCGGTGAAATAATATTAACTCCTTCTATATCAATTTGCTCTTTACTTGTTGAATTCCACATCGGTGTTAAATATCCTAATGAACATTCATTCTTCAGTGGTCTAACATTCTTTAATGCAACCCAAAGTCTTTCATATTCTACTTGTGTATCACATTTCTCTGGAAGTGGTGTTTTACTGATATCTTTTATATTAATATCCCCTTCTAACATAGACGCAAGAATCCCTGGAATAAATACTATCGGTTTTTTAGCTGGGCATTCTTTTCCTAATGAAATCACCCATAAAATAACGAACAAAAAATATCTTGTTTTCATTTCTTTCAATGAGCCTTTGATAAATTAAGATTGGGTTTGTTCCGAAACTGTTAGAATTCACATTTCTCATGACTTTTCTCATTTAGTCCATTTGTCCTTTTAATCCTACTAAAGGAAATAGATTTTTGATTTATTCATTATGATTGTTCTCATCCTATTTCTAAATATAGATAAAATGATAAAAAAGTAAACAATACATTTATTAATAAAATTTTTATTTATTTAATTATTCAATGTGATGATGAATTTTCTTTTTCTCTTTCCGCTTTTTTTTTTCTAAATTAAACTTGTATCTTGGTTTTTTAACTAATTCTTTTTTATTGAACTTCTCAGAATTTTCATTCTTCTCATTCCAATCCATTCAGTTGTAATTTAGTA